TGCACCGGGTTCGGCACATCAATGCTAACTGCACTTGTATTTCAAATTCCAAGTTGAGTACTTGTTAGTTGCGCATTTCACATGCCATGTTTAGGATAGCCGAGCCTGTCTAGATTGCATCTCTGCATGTGTCGCATTAGCCATTCTAACATGAACTAGGATCATGCATGTTTGCTAACTAGTTTTCTGTTTTGCTTAGAGTACTCGGCAAGCATTTATGCTTTAGCATACCACAATGTGTGAGTGTTTCCATAACAACATGCTTACCATGAGGCTAGTTGCTTATGTGATATAACTGCTTGATGCCTGCGGATGGAGGTTGAATTACCTAAATTGGAATAATGCACTAAAACTGTGAGTTTTAAGACCACTAGATAGTGGCAAACCATCTTTTCTAAAGCCCACTTGAGGGTGGCAAAATCTGCATTTTAGCCTACTGCGAGTAGCAACCATTTTCAAAACAAACATGAAATGTTTTGTTCCAATTTAGGCGATTTAGTCTATACTTGTTTACTGTGCGCATAACATAGTAATTCTAGGCTAATAACGGTTTAAGAACACATAACGTTTTCAAAATCGGATACCATGGTTATAGAGGCCGATCTTTGATCGGGCGAGCGCGGGGTGGCTCATAGCTGACCTTCTCCAATCGTACCCAAGTTCCCGAACCGAAGCAGCTTTGGTGATGACGGACACGTGGGCCTTTGGCACCGAGTCAGGGTTTCCTAAATTCCCCCAAAATAAAATATTTAGGTGGCGACTCTGTATCTAGCAAAGCAGTCCATGTTTGGCACTTCTTTCAAAAATCTATTTTCTCAAAACGATTTGCCAGATTTGGACTCTTTGGTTCAGATTAAGAACCGTGACAAATCGAGTCCGAACTGTAGTAGACCCACAAAATGAACAGGACGGGGGTTCATCCTCCCGGGGCGTTCGGGGATGTCTACAACTTTGTGAGATTAGATTCAGAACCGTGACACGAGTCCGAACTGTAGCAGCTAAGAACAAAGCGATTCGCGCCCTCCCGGCGCAGCGCGGAGAGCGGAGTTCTCGAGGCGGTCTACAGGTGCGCCCGGTTTTCACACCACCCTTTCCTCTTCACACGTGCAATGCATTAGGATCTCGGTTGAGACCTCAGGTGTGCCCAACGGTTATGTCGTTCTTCACCTTTCCCGCTCGACACGTACTTAAGCTTGCATAATTTTCTTACATCCTTTCTGCATGAAATATGGTTTGGCTTGTGATTCTCACGTGTGGCGTGTTTATTTACTTATTTCTTTACATGATTGGAATTGTGGTGCCTTGTTTTAGTTTGTTTAAGTGTGGCATTTTCTTGCATTGCATTTGCATTCAAATGTTTCATTGCACAGCCTCATTGCATTATCATAAGTTATGTCCTTGCATTTTGCATAGCATTTACGTTTTGCCTCAGAACTACGCTGGTTTGATTCCTTGCAAAGGGATATGTAGGCAGCCTACAGATGCAACTATTTATTTTTGTCTTGATTGTTTGTCCAAGTCTTATGGCCTTGTCAAAATGGGTTGTCTCTGGGTTTTGACATTCACTTACGTCATTTCATGACTCGGAGTTCTGTCAAAAAGGGCCAACTGTAGACACCCCATTTTTTACGGCCCTTATGACTTGGACATCTTTGTAGGTACACCCGACGATGAGTCTGTTTGCTCACCAAACGCTCGAAGTCCTCAGCAGAATGCCATAACTTTGAGCCTTTCTCATCCTCTATCCTTTTTGTCCCATTTTTGGACCATGCCTTGGTCTTTTCAGCCTACAACCTATGGTGGCCTATGGCCATCCCTAGAGGCTGTCGGCCATCACTTTTGGTTTGTCGGTCACTAATGTGGCTTGTCGGCCACCAATGATGGCCGGCCGACCACCAGTATTTTCTATAGATATTTTATGCCAGTTGTGCCAGCTATTTGCACAGATGGATGCATCTGTCCACACGTGGAGGGCTGGATCTCCTTGTAGAAATTTCATGTTTTCTATATATAAGGACCCCCTCTCTCATGTTTGGAGGTTAGGAAATTTTAGACTCAAAAATTTTCCTCTCTCTACAAATTCTCTACACTTTTGCCCACTTACACTACACTCTTGCTTATACTTCCTTAACCAAATCCTCTCACCTTTGAGCTGAGGTTCCTTTAGGCCTTCTTGGAGCTCTTGAAGTTGGTTTTGGCTTGAATTGTTGCTTAGAGTTACTCTTCTCTTCAAGAGGTATAATACTTGCTTTATTAGCTTGCTTCGCATATTTGTTTTTCTACCTTTTCCAACTATTTTGGGTTGTTTTGGGGCTATAAAAAAACTCGATTTTTGTGGGCAGAAATTGTTGGTTTAGGCCATTTAAGGTTAGGAGGTGGTTCACCCTTATTTATTCCCTGTTGGTAAGGCCTTTTCACCTTTGTTTCCCACTTTCAAACCATCTTTTTTTGGGGCTTTAAACACTGAATTTCAGAGCTTTTTTAGTGATGAAAATCATGTTTTGAAGTCCAAATTTGGAGGGGTTAGCCTCCCCTCCTTTTGTCTTGTTTGCTAGCCTAGTTGGTGCTTTGCGTTACCTTATTTTTCTAGCTTGTTCCAGCTTAATTCCACCATGTTTTAGCTTCTGATTTAGACTGTTTTTACTCTGTTTTGGATTAGTTAAGTCATTTCAGTCTTGTTTTTCATACTTCTAGTGTAATAGTCCTCACAAGCTTGGTGTTTTAGGTCTTTAGACACACTTGTTTGAGTTAATTGCATGTTTTTAGTGCTTTTCTCACTTAATTTCAGCACTAACCATATTTGCAGCCTCCCTCATTTCTTGGCTTTTACTTTTGTTTTGAAAGTGGTTTCAAGTCACTTGTTTACCTAAGTGTGAAATAGAGGTTTCATACTTAATGGTTTAATCCCTTAGGGGATTCATTACCAACGGTATGATACTTCTTTCATACCTAAAGCAACTTGTGTTTTGAGTCCTCTTTCCATTAGAGGACTTTAATTCACCTTTGGACTTAATTGGATTAAAGGATGGTTGGTTAGTTAAAATGAATAACTAAAACTTGGGACTAAAAATGAGCAAGATAATGATTGGTTGTGTTCAATCAGACGTTAATTGAACACATGGAACTTGGACCATTTCATACTTGCTAGTGATGAAATGATCCAAGTCTCCAAGGTCTACTTCTTCCCTTGATCTTTCATGAAAGTGAGGAGGTTTGTGTCTCATTTTGGATTTATTGAACTTGCACATCTTGAATCACAAGCCATCATGCAATGAAATTGCTTGAATTGGTGGTTTGTGGCTTAAATTCACCTTTCCTTAGATTTGCTCATGAAAAGGAGGGGTAAGTTGTGCAAACAATCCTTGAAAATACCCTGCATATGCTTTGTTTATTCTATGTTGCACCAAGATGAACCAATGGATCAGTGGCCGGCAGGCCACTTTCCATGGCTGGCAGGTAGCCGGCAGACTTCCATCCATAGCCAGCAGGCTACTTCCATGGTCGGTAGGTGGCCGACAATATTCACCAGTGGCCGGCTGGCCACTAATGCAAATCTCAGCAGAGTGTTGGTAAGGTGGAGCAAAGTGTTTCAGAAGTGTTCAATTGTGCAAACAAAGGCTTTCAAGAGCAAAACAAAGGTCTTTTCGGGTGAAAACCGAGCATGCGCATGCACATCCTTCGTTTCCCGAGGTAGAGTAGCTAATTGGCTTAGTTTAGTTACTTAGTTTAATTATTAGTTGCAATTGTTTTGTAATTGTTTAATTAGTTAGTTAGCTAATTAGTTCATATGTTGTTGTAATAATTAGCTAATTAGTTTAACTAGTTATTCATTTTGGTTTGAAATAATTAGCTTAATTAGTTTAGCTTAATAAGCTTAATTAGCTTAGCTTAGTTATTCATTCAGACTCTCCTTCGTGAGAGCGTAATGTAATAATGTGTATGTTTTCCAAACCCCACGTCTTTCTTCCTTTTATTTATCCTCTTTTGATGGTTAGATTAGGGACATATTTCAATTAGCATACCTTATGCTTGCATAGATTCATCTCGTCTTGCATACACCAAGGCCCGGCGCATCATTCAAACTGCATTGTCATTTTAATACTTCTTTGAATACGTGCTTAGAATTCATGTTATTTAATTTAATTGATCCATATGCCATATTAGCAGCCAAGCCTATTAGTTGCATCTTGCATGTGTTGCATTAGACATTTTGTATAGTTAGAATCATGCACTTTTTCTAATTTTGTTTTCTTTTGGCTTGGAGTACTAGGTCAGTTTTTAGCGCTGCATGAGTGTAAGTGATTGCCATGTCTAGCATGCTTGCCATGACGCTAAATCCTTACTTGTTAAACTGCTTGAGTGCTTGTGGATGAAGGCTTATTGCTTGAATTGGAATGATTTAATGAATGTACGTTTAAGCCCACTTTGTTGAGTGGCAAATTTGTGAACTTTAAACCCACTTGAGATGGCAAAATCAAACCCTTTTTGAAAAACAAACATAAAATTGCATTGTTCCAATTCAAGCAAACTAGTCTATACTTGCTTGTGCACATCACATAGTAATGCTTTCCTAAATAAACCGGAACAACAACATATAATGTTGATAAAAATCATATCATGATTAGTAGAGGCCGATCTTTGATCGGGCGAGCGGGGGTGCTCAATTCATGACCTTCCCCTCTCGTACCTAAGCCCCCAAACCGATGCAAACTTGGTGATGACGGACACATGGCCTTTGGAACGAGTCATGGGTTTTCTAAATTTCCCCCAAAATAAAATATTTAGGTATCGACTCTATATTTGGCAAAGTAGTCCAATTTTGGCATTTTTGATTCAAAAATCGATTTTCCAAAAGATTTGTCGGATTTGGACTATTTAGTGTTTATCAATTTTACATTGCACTTGTGAGATTAGATTCAGAACTGCAGGAGTCTGACCTGTAGGGCTTCTTTTCAAACTTCTGAAAGGGGGCGCGAAAAAGGTGAGCTACAATATTGCACTACTAGCGTATGCCCGTGCCTGAAGGCACGGTGTAAAAAATGTTAGGATTATAATATAATTGTAATTGCAACACTATTTAAATTTAAGATTAAAATGCAATTATAAAAATATATTTAATAGACTACACTCTACAATTTCAAAAAATATATTTAATAGACTACACTCTACTAATTGAAAATAAAAGTTTTCATTCTTGCATGTGCTTTCATGTTTATACAAATGCTATACACAGAGGTAGAGACTTTGCTTATTTATTTCAATGTCTAGGTGGGAAGATGATGTTTGCATGTTCTGGGACTATAATAGAATGCGAGGATGTAATGGAACATTCATTAGTACCATTTTAACTTCTGCAACTCTCCTAAGATCACCTATTGATGCAAATGCTATACCAGATGACATTAAGGTGGTTGTTGTTGTTGTTGTTGTTGTTTTTAAATTATAAAATACTTGGCATAGTACAACACTATTCAATGTTTTTTATTATTATTTTTTTGGGTGGGTATGACTTACTATTATTGCAGGTTGAGGTTGGTGTTTATGTGATGAATGATAAACCATTTAACGGTCATGTGATTGCTTACGATTTTCACTTCAACATTGCTACCATTAGTATTGAAACAGATGTAGCATTGCCAACTGCAATCATTAGACCCTTGTATGATTCAATCTCAATAGATTCAATCTCAATCATCATCAATCTTACAAATCAAGCTACTGTGAAATGTGGAAAATTTGGAAAACGAAGTATTAGAAGTTTATATGTTCGCAATTAGAATTTTACCTGAAAGAATTTAACCTGAAAATTAACCGTAATGCTTTGCAGAAACTCTGTTTTCTGGTATCTCCGCAAGCCTTTCAAGAAAAAAAATGGTCGACTTGGTGATTTTCAGATAATCAGAAAATCTGAAAGCAAGAACCGAAGCAAGAATTAATCAGAACTATCAACTGAAATATGCTATTATTCTTGTTTTGAACAATGAATTTGACTCCCATTATTAAGTTGTAACACATACTAAAGCAGTCATTTTCTCACTGCTATGCATGCTATATTCTCCTTTCAAACCCAGGCCAAAACTTGAGGTGCAGCAATATAAGATATTGTTATATTAATTGACTGTAATTTTATTAAATTATGGATTCTTTATTTTCTGCTGGAAGCTGACTGTGAGATATAATATCCAGATTTAGTGCTGGAAGGCATTATCAAAAGTGAGAAAACAATTTGTTTATTCTTTGATTAGCAATTGTAGCACACAGAGTCATGCTGGTTATTTAACAACATAGTTGCTTCATTAAAATACTCACCTACATGCACACATGTACTGATTTTTACCGCTGATGGTTTCTTCAACCTTCAGAATAAGATGTCATTATGGAAAGAAATAGAGGGCAAGGTCCACACCACGTCAATTGTACCAATAACAGACAAACTAAGAAATATATGAGCTCTCTTGTTATTTGTCGAAAACCCTATTTAACATAGTATCCTGTGTAATTTGGGTTGGCTAAACAAATCTTTATGAATTGCAACTTTACAACCAAACCCACAAAAAATTCAGATTCAAGCAAAAAATAAGCAATAAATGAACCCATATCCATTCAGTTAAAAAATGGAACACCCTCTCAGACCCATTCAAACAAACACTTAATGGGTGTGAAGCCCTGGACTGAAATGGGTTGGGGATTAACCTCTGAAATTTCAAATGATGAAAATAAAAAGATTCAGAACTATGAAATCGCAACCTCTGAACTATGATCAGAACCTCCAAATGGGAAAAATGAATGAACACAATGGGTTTGAGCTCAATGGCGGGTATGCTGTGTTGGCCCAGTGGAGAGCCGCACAGCGTTAGCTTTTTGGGACGATCCCAGACATCACCAGTCACGGGATGGTGAGGTTTAGTTGGTTCTATGATCATTTCTCGGAGTCTCAGCCCGCTACTCTGGATGAGGTCGCACAGTACACTTGCGGTTTCCTAATGTATCTCATTGGTACTACCATGTTTGCGAACAAGGAAAATACCGTGGGATTATACCTTCTGGGGGCACTAGTGCACCTACCCCAGGTGACAGAGTATGATTGAGGGGGTGCCGGCCTAGCCACCTTATATTGCTATATGAGCTCCATCTCCCACCGCAAGGCGGATTCACTCAGTGACTATTGGAGGCTTTGGAAGGCATGTCCCCTACTTCTGTCGCTTCTTTGACACAATCATTATGGATCAGGTAACAAAATATCAACCCTTAACTGTTATAAACTGTAACAATATTGCACTGTTTCCCATACAACACGGTCATTCTCGTACTGTTGCTTCGATACTACATTGACATTTCATACTGCACTGACTTCTGACATCTGACATCTGACGTCTGCTTCCATAGGTTGACTGGCATCCTTAGGCTGGCATTCCCCAGGCATCGAGAATGACCTATGTCACTGCATGGCAGGCCTCCACCATGCGGATTTTGTTCGAGGGCCCCTTTGGCTAAGCTTACTAACTAGGGGAGAGGTTCATCCACCAGACACGAGGCGTCACTGACCCCGACATCCCACTGTAGACACCTCATTTTTAACCGACCTTAGACTCAGACGTCATCGATTAAGCGCTCGATGATCGCGCATGTTTGTTCTCGTTTCGAGTTTCCAGAGTTTGCGGCTAAGTGCCTTGCCTCCGGGCCTCTGAACTCTTTGTGTTTTGGCTCGGTTTGTGGACCATGTCTTGTTGACCTTTCCTGGAGGGAGGGAGAGGTCCGTAGAGAACGTTTTGTAGTTGTAGACTACTTTTCCCTCTTGTAGGCAAGTTTTTTGATTTTCGGAGCCTTCAGTCGAGCGCCTTGTCTCGGGACCGCTTAACGTTCTCCTCTTGGCCTGGTTTTCGGACCATGCCTTGTTCCCTTTGCCTAGAAGGAAATAGAGGTCTGTAGACCACTTTTTGTGGTCGTAGACCACCTTTCCCTTGTAGACCACTTTTTGTGCTCATAGACTAGTTTTCGAGGCTTCCGGCTGCACGCCTTGTCCCATGGACTTTTGTCTTTCATCTTTTTGGTTTTTTTTTGGAAACAACCTTGTTTTCCTTGCTTGGAGGGTGGAATAAGGGTTGTAGACCAATTTCTCTCCCTGAAGACCACTTTTTGTGCCTGCCAGCCAGTTTTCTGGTTGGCCAGTTGATCTTGGTGGTATGTGGACCACCTAAAGTGGTCGGTAGCCATGCCACCACCTTGCTTTCTTTGTGCAGACCACTCTTCCCCCTTGCCAACCACTTTTCATTCTTGTAGACCACTTTCACTGGTCAGTCGACCAGTGCAAGTAGCTGGCCGACCACTTCAACTGGTCGGAAGCTTTCCTGCACTTTCTGCAGATATTTTCCATGCCAGCTGTGCCAGCTATTGGGCACAGAAAACATCCTCCATACACGTGTATGGAGGGATTGATTCAACCTTCAAGCTTGCTCAACAAGCTTGATGCATGTTTTTCTATAAAAGGGAGCCTCCTCCCTTTTGTCTCAGGTTGAGAAAAATTGATTGGAGTTATACATATATCATCTATCTCTATATTTCTCTTTTCTCTTCATATTTGTGCTTGAAAGTGCCATTTCTTCACACTTTTGCACACAAACACATAGTGAAACACCTTTGCTTTGGAGCTGAGGCACCTTGAAGCTGGTTTTTGGAGTTTTTTGGATTGCTTTTGGTCCAAAAAAGTTGTTGGAGTTGCAGCTTTGAAGTTGTTCTTCAAGGGTGAGTTTCTAACCCCTTAAAGCCTTGTTTTTTTATTAAGCCTTTGACCCCCTTTGCATGCTTATTTTGGCTTAACTCTCAACTACAAAAAAAGTTCCGATTTTAAGTGCTTAACATGTTTGTTTAAGGCTTCATTGGTGTTGGGGGTGGTCTGCTCCCTTGCATACCTTATTTGCTAGGCTTTTGAGCCATCACTTTAGACCTTTGTGATTACCTTTATTTGGCCTCTTCACCACTGAATTCCAGAGGAATTTCAGTGGTGGAAAGTGTGTTTTGAGGTCTTAAATAGGAGGGGATTGTCCCCCCCCTCCTCTTCTCTTGTTTGCTTGTATTGATGGCTTATCAAAAGAGCATGTAGCTCTATCTTCTTGAAGCTTTGTTTGAGCACTTTTTTGTGACCTTTTAGACCTTCCATGACTCTATTTTTGGTTGTCTTGGTCACCCCTTGCATGCTTCTTGTATGTGTAGTGTAATCCTACTTGAAGCTTTTCAAAGTAGCATGCCTTTCTAGCATGTTTTGGTTCTATCTCAGCATGTTTTTGGTGTTGTTTTTCCGTGGTATAACTCTTTTTTGGGTTGGTTTGATAGCTTCTTGCATGCTCCTTGCACTTGTAGTGCAATTCCACAGCTTAACATGCATCATGCTTTAGACCATCATTCTAGCATGATTTTGGCTCAACTCCAAGAAGCTTTTACTCATGTTCTACCATGGTTAAGCTCTATTTTATGTTGTTTTGGTCATGCATGCCTTGCTTTGTATAGCCATAGTGCATTCTTGCTCACTAGCTTTGAGTTTCCAAGTCACTAGCATGCATTGCTTGGGCTATTTGTATGATTTAGCATCATTTGATATGTGATTTCAGTTCATGTAGTGTGGTCATGCCCTCACATCTTTCACTCATTCAATGCTTTGCAGGGTTGGTGCTTTATGCCTTAAACATGAGCCGTTATGTATGCCATCTTGCCTAAACTTGTGGACTATCATTTCAGTGTGTTTTTTGTCTTGTTTTGCCATGCCATAACTCTAATTTTTGTTAGTGAAGTCATCTCATACTTGGTTTTGGTAGGTGTAGTGTAATCCTTCTTATTGGCCTTGCATATTCCATGCTTCATGCCCTTCATGCTAGCATGTGTTAGCTCTAGTCCATACAAGTTTTAGCATTATTTTGACATGCTTTAGGACTATTTTGGGTTGCCTTGGCCATATGACTCATGTTTTGTATAGCTATAGTGCAAATGCCTTGACTAGTCTTGAGTTTTGAGGCCCCTGCCATGCTATACTTGTGATGTTTGCATGCTTTGGCATCATTTGGTATGGAATTTCAGAGCTTATATCTTTTCCATACTCCTATGTTTACCACTCTTTAATTGTGTTTAAGAGTTGTGCCTTTATGCCTTGTTTGTGAGCTAATACACGAGTACATCTTTCTTGCCATCTATGCTACGAGTCTAGCATGTTTTTGCTACTATTTTGACCTGCCTTAGGTCTGTTTTGAGTGGTTTAGGTCATTTAAGCATTGCTTAGCATGGTTGTACTGTAGAGCCCTTGACTAGCTTTGTATTTCAAGTCTCTTGGCATGCTTTATTTGAGCCATGTACATGATTTGGCATCATTTAACATGATATTTCAGAGCATATAGCATTGCCATGTTCTCACTTCTTTCACTCTTTGAGTGCTTTTAAGGGTTATGGCTTTGTGCCTCGTTTATGGCCTAACTTGTATACATGCCTAGGCTTTTGAGCTCCCATCTCAGCATGTTTTGGTCTTTGTTTTGACCTAATTGAGCTCTGTCCATGGTTGATTCAATCATTTGTGCCATGTATTGCATACCTCTTGTATAGTTCCTTTTGGTAGCCTTCTGCCTTAGGCCTTCTAGCATGCTATGCTTATGTTGTTTAGATGATTTCGCATCATTTCACACATGATTTCAGAGCATATAGTGTTGTCACACTTCCATGTTTGTCACTTCTTAATCGTGTTTGAGAGTTAAGCTCTTATGCTTAGTTGATGGGCCAATGCATGACCATGCATTATCTTGCTTTTCATGCCGTCATTTCAGAGTATTTTGCCCACTGTTTTGGACCCTCTTAGGTCTGTCCATAGGCGGCTTAAGTCCATTGAGTTTTGCATTACATAGCCCTTGCCATGCTTATATTGTTTGCAT